AGAATACTTTGTTTTGCTGCCCGTACTTTAAAATACCTACTTTTCTTTAGAAAGCTGTGAAAGAATTGACTTTACCGAATCAGTTGTTCCTCCTCCCTTCCCTCTACAGGGAATCAGGGGTCTTGTCACTTTGGTGTTATGAATGCGCATTTAAAAAGTAAGGTGACCCTAAAACTTCGCCTTCAGGAGTTGAACGCAATACCTACATTTGTACTTCAAACACTCGGGGCATGAAACCTTTTCAAATTTGTCATGCACCCACTACGTTGACTTAGTGGAATAGGTGCAGTAGCTTGTGTGCCTTTTGTAGTGGGGTACCGTCTTTCAACCATGGAGGCATTATGATAATCACGTATTGTGACGCCCGTTGGCAATGGACGCTTATACTCGCATTATTACTGCAATATTGCATGCTTAATTGCGAAGCATGTACACAGGACGCGTGTGTTTGTGAAGCATGAAAGCTACTTTCACTGCACTTTCAAGCAGAGGAAGTTCTGTTCACTGTTTTCAGAAGGAGAGGCGTTGTGGAACATGTGGTAGATTATTCGCTTACCACGCAAATGAATTTGTTTCGATCACCATCATCATCATCATCATCAGCCTGACTGCGTCCACTGCAGGACAAAGGCCTCTGCCATGTTCCGCGTTAACCCGGTCCTGTGCTTGCTGCTGCCAATTTATACCAGCAAACATCTTAGTCACCTCTGCCCACCTAACCTTCTGTCTCCCATGACGATAGTTATAGTTCGAGAACAAAACGACGACACAGAGACAAGAAGGACACGAAAGACACTAGCGCTGTAACTATCGCTATAACTATCGTCATGCCATACCAACTAGCCCAAGCTGCCACACTTCTGTCTCCCCTAACCCGCTTGCCTTCTCTGGGAATCCAATCAGTTACCCTCAATGACCAGCGGTTATCCTGTCTACGCGCTACATGCCCGGCCCATATCCATTTCCTCTTCTTGATTTCAGCTATGATATCCTTAACCCCCGTTTGTTCCCTAATTCAATCTGCTTTCTTCCTGTGTGTTAAGGTTACACCTACCACTTTTTTTTTCCATTGCTCGCTGCATCATCCTAAACTTAAGGTGAACCATGTTTGTAAGTCTCCAGGTTTCTGCTCCGTAGCTAAGTGCCGGCAAGATACAGCTGTTATATACCTTCCTCTTGAGGGATAGTGGCAATCTACGTGTCATAATTTGAGAGTGCTTGCCAAATGTGCTCCACACGATTTTTATTATTCTAGTCACTTCAATCTCGTGGTTTGGCTCCGCGGTTATTGCCTGCCCTAAGTAGACATAGTCTTCTACAACTTGAAGTGCACTATTACCTATCTCGAAGCGCTGCTCTTTTCCGAGGTTGTTGTACATTACTTTCGTTTTCTGCAGATTAATTTTAAGACCCACCGTTCTGCTCTCCTTGTTTAACTCCGTAATCATGAGTGGCAATTTGTCCCCTGAGTTGCTCAGCAGTTACTTCGATCCTCACTCGGACCCAAAGAACCCTAGTTCAGTGTGCACTCTGCTCCATTATTTTTTATCATTTATTTTCTTTGCAACGTTTTCAAATTTTCGGCCACGTACAGGATGACGATTTCTCGCTCACAACCAATGACGCCAACACTGATGCCGGCGCTGACGCCGGAATTTTAGCAAAACGAGCTCTTCAACGCTATTGCGTTGAAATTCACGTGATCGAACCCCTTAGTGTGTAGTGCGACGAAGTGCACCATAAAGCAATAGACACCCGTCAGCACGTGTTTCGCAATTGAGAGATGTACTCACTCAAGAGCGGTCACGCGAGAAGTTTCATGAGCGAGAGAGTTAGTCATTTCTGAAAAAGTACAGTGAAAACACACGGCACAAGCGCAAACGCACGCAGATATGGCACCGAACACATACGTACAGTGCTATATATTGTGCATGCTATATTGTGGTTGCACTACATTGATTGCGCATGTTATAGTGTGTGGCCGTGCGTTTGCACTCAATTATTGTTTGAAAATGAGAAACCAAGCAGTCAACAACAAGATATTTTCAAGTAGAAATCAGACCACTCATCAGGAGGTGTATGAATGTCCACTTTCATAAAGCCCTTATACCTTCGGAAAAGTACAGCCTTCTTTTGATCTGCGCCTCTTCCTCCTCTCTCCGCTGGAGTGAGCTCGTGGCGCGTTACAGGAGGCGCCACTGTCACAAGAGAAAAAAAAAAGCGAGGTGGCGGAGAGCAGGCGGCGAGGGAAGAACAGATTGCGGTACTTTTGAGAAAGAAAGGTGCAGCGTTCTTTCGATCTGCGCCGCTTCCTCCTCTCCACGCCGGAGCCAGCACATGGCGCGTTACAGGTGGCGCCACTGTCACAAGCGAAAGAAAAAAAGCAACGCGTCGGAGAGGAGGTGGTGAGGGGGAGAGCAGACAGCGGTATTTTTACGAATCATAAGGGCTTTACACTTTCACATTACTTCAAAGATAGTGTATTATGCAATTACGGGGTCACGTCCAAGCGTCCCGTTTCCTTAGAGACAATGATGCTGCGCCGATCGTGTGCGGCTCGTTACGCCCACCTCACCCAGTTTTTCACCACCACGCCTCGCTTTTACGGTAAGTCGTTCCGTTTCGTCTGCGGAAATAATTTTGTGGTTTCTTGCTTTGAGACAGTGCCAGCAAGATCTTTGACGTGCACGGGCAGCCTACATTGTACGTGTAGTGTAGATCAGGCTCCATGATGACCACCGCGCATGGCTTCTTCGCAAGCGTCAGTTTTCCTTCACGGGCTTTTTTTTTTCATTTCTGAAAGATTCTTCTTGTGGCATGAAGAACTGCCATGCCTGTGGGTCATTGTCAACCCTTTTTGTGTTGCTCTCAGGGGTGATAATTTCAACTCAACACACAGCGGGTATGCGCATTTTTGAGGGACAGCGCATGAGGCCAGATATTTTCATCATGACAGCCTTTCTTCCTTCCTTCTTGTTGCTGCATAGTATAGACATCCTCGAAATTTCAGTTGTTACAACCAGATAATCATTCACGTGGTCGTAAGAATGCTGTACTATAAAAAGAACGAGAACACCGATTTCGCCTCAATAACGCAGCAGTGAGGCCGATAGCAACAAATCGCAATGTTATACGATGTATTACTGGGAGCTAACTCTTTTATATCCCACACAGTTACGAAGAGAAATAAAATTTGTTGACTGAAACTTTTGTACCAAATAGTTAAAGGACATTACAACATAGACACCTCCCACATTATCTCTTTTTGTGAGGGTTATGCTACCAAGCAAAGACACTCTTTAATGATAGCTCCTTTATTTCCACGAAATAATTGCTTTAAATACTCTTTCTTCTGTAGAGCTATTGCTGATTGGAACAACCTAACTAATAACATTGTAGCACAAGAATCACTTTCATTGTCTGAAAAATGCTTATTGAATTGAATTGAATTTTATTCATCAAGCGTGAACATGGAAAAGTGCATAGAGTAGTTCTTTAGTACCATTGATTATATCTTTTGTTGCATTTGTTCCTTTTTGTGTGTCACTTGTAAAATTCGATTATCAGTTAAACGGAATCTTTTTTCCAGCGATGTATCCTCTGTATATTATCTATACCCTACTTGGCATTTCACTAATTAATTCGAATTTTGTTTCGCATCCCTATTTGTGCATCCTATTTTGTTTCGCATCCCTATTCGCATCCCTATTTGCTTTAACTGTGTGCATTATATTGTCCGCGTTATGCATTTTCTGCGTGTATATTATTTTGCCCTTTCAGAATACTCTGTACCTCTGTCTCACACCTGCTATAGTCTCTGTTCAAGACTGCAGTATCAATAAATAAATAAATTCATTCTCATGTATCTCTGCAAAAGGGTGGTTTTAGACAGTGCGGCCACTTCACCCCGAGAAGCTGATTTCACCATCTCCTCGCGTTGAGAGCGTAGTAGGTAGAACGGTATGCGAAGCTTGCGCTGATGCATGCCGAGATAGTGCGCGTGCCAGCAATCACGACCCCGCCATCGGAATCAAAGGGCACAGTTGATGCTAAAGTGTATTCAAGCATTGCTACTGTTTTGTAGTTGTGCAGCTGGTGTTAGCCCATGCCTTACCTATCAATGCTACACGTCATTCTCTGCTAGTTCTCATAAATATTGAATTATTATTGACTCAGAGTTTACTGCTGTGTCCAGTATGTTTTTTGTCTCGTCTGCGCTGTATTTGTCACAACGTCGATCTACGTGGTAACTCTTGGGCTGAAAGTCGAAAATTCAGCGTGCACATACACTCATCGACTTATTCGTACGAAACCAATTTTCACAAGGACTGTGGGCTGGCTAATTATTTTCATTATTGCAGTGTTGTTGTAAGTGGAACACTTTCTTGATTTGCAGCGTCCGTGAAGAAACGAAACAGGCCGATGTTCAACCCTCTTCAGCTCCATCAGAAGCGATGACTTTACGTCATGATGTCCACATAACACAGGAACAGGATGTCACAGATCACTAAAATTTATTGTGGCAGAATCTGTCACAACATCTTCACTTCTCATGAGGATGAGATCAGTTCAAATCACTGATCTTTCAAAGCTATAGGCCTATCCCGGAGGCTTTGCAGAAGAGTTTGAAGACAACACCTTTTTGTGCGTGTTGGCGTGGTGGTGGTGGGTGTGAAGTGAGAGTTTATAGGAACTCCCCGAGGAGCTCCGCGCTTGTGGTGGAACATCCGAGGAAAATCGCGTAGTGCATCCGTCCTTTTCTCTGTCCGTTCTTTATAGTAATCCGTGACTTTGACGTAGATATTATGCACTCAGGAACTAGCTTCGCCCAATCACCAGTATAAACTTCATGAATCTGCAGCTATGTTTTGTCTTACCGTTTCTGGAGACCATCGTGAGACAGCCATTACTTTATCGACTCAACTTTTTTAGTATAAATCAGTCAAATAAAAAATCTTCAACCTGGCTTCGCTTGAGAGACAAATATGCACGGCATCAAAGAAGCTTCAACAACACAAAATATTTTATTGGTCGAAACACTCCCTGGAGCATTCGTCTACAACAGCAATATCGCGATGTCTTAAAAGGAACGTGTGAGCGACACTTGCTCTACATAATCACGTAACGTATCACACATGAACGAGATATTGTAAACGTGCCACCAATTTAGATGATATAATTGTACTCCTCCGTTTCTCATTTTCGTGGTGCCAGAGGCGCTTTCTTTGCGACCACCGGTAGCTTCTCGCCTTGAAGGTACGGGTTCTTGGCCTGCACAAAAAGAAATGTTTCAAACACTCTGCTGCTCCTTCTATGTAGAAACAAAACATACAGTTCTTTTTGTGCTTCGGTAGTTATATTAATATTATTTTTTTGCTATTTCAAAACGCGAAACCACAATATGATTATGAGTGGTGCCGTAGTGGAGGGCTCTGAAGTTACTGTTCCTTAGCGCGCACCTAAATCTTGGTCAGCCTGCGTCTCGAACGCTTCGCCTCCATCAAAATAAGGCCGCCGCTTTCAGCATTCGACTCCACCTCTAAGGGTGTCAAGTTATCTCGGTAACCACCCGCGCCAAGTTAGCCTTTCCTTTACTTTTCTTTCTTCACATTTACATTTAAATTACTTCTCACAGCATCCTCTATACATTCCTTGCCGACATTGTCTTTTAGTCGTCTTTAATACACATGCCGAGTAGATCGTCAGATCAACCTTGCTTTCAACTACAATGCGAACCGGTAGTGCAGAGATACCACAGAAGAAGTTTACGTTCTTCTAAGATTAAGAATACTTCATAAAAGCACATTTTTATATTAATTTACGGGTGGGTTAGCCGGCAACGGGGTATTTGGAAGGGACTCACAGGTGTAGTCTTGGGCTGCTTCACAGACTTCTTGGATTTTCTAGAGTACCGCTTTGCATAGGACGCGTGGTTCTAGAAAAGCAAGAGAGAAAAGATGTGTTTCACGACACGAGCACGTGCCAATTTGAGATTTAAGGAAACGATAAAACCACGTGAAGGTCGGTAAACTGCTGTTAGGAGCTTTTTGTGAGGTATTTACGTAGTTTACATCGACTAACTGCCTGTCCAGCCACCGCAATGCATTACTTTGATGGGTTCTTATTATTGGTTTACCTATAGCCGTTATTAACAGAGTTTCAGACTTTTGATGAATTGGCAATGGCAACGAGAACACATAAAAAAACCGCGAGCAAATTGTGATTCATTATGTCGTTTTCTTATTCTCTAAAATCAAAATTTCGGCCCCCTGCCTTCATTCTCCTCGAAGATATTAAGCAAAGCTTTCTGCCATCTACATATGTAAAAACATGAGAGAGAAAAATTGTGCTTATGTGTTAAATCAAATCTGGACCATAGTGCTAGTCGCGTCCCTCAGGACTATAAATAACGTTCCACCAGCCATCCGTCCATCATATTGTGTGCCACACCTGGAAGACATGCATCTATCACGGCAATATTACAAGTGAGTATGAAGTCGCAAGCTAGTGGTGTTGAAGAAAATTCTGCAAGTATATTGAATCGAGGCTAGGTCCGAGCTGGTTGGTACAGTGACATTATCAAACCAGTAAGTTAATGAGGACGGGGAGAAAAAGATAAAACACATGGCACTTTTGTGCCGGCTTCTTGACCCCGTGCCCGTAGCTGTTTCAACATCGGAAGATGTTAGTGGCTTTGTGATCGATCGGAATGATGCAGCAAGACAACATTACCTGCTGGCTCGAGATCTCACACGCACGTTCTGGTCGTCTACCAGCTTCCAAAGGTGTCAATAGTATGAACTGGATCCTTCGCTCAAGCAAAGCTACCATCACAACTTTCCCGCTCCGATGCGACACTGTTAAGCCGCCTTTGGTTGGGTGTTGCATTCACAAAGGTGTACTCCTTTCGCATTGGTATGGCAGACACCTCTACATGCGACTACTGCGGAGCTGAAGAGACCATTGAACACGTCCTGTGCAGCTGCGCTTGCTACGACACACAGCGATGTCAGCTCCGGATGGTTTTGAATCAACTTGACCCTGGACCACTTTGTGTGCAGAAGATACTAGGACCTTGGGCATCTGCCTCAGTTGCGCAGAAAGCAACTAAAGCACTGCTACTTTACCTAAAGTCAACAAACCTGAGCGACCGCCTGTAGACTGTGTGTGCTCCCCGAGTGTGCTCATGATTGTGTGTGCCTTCTCATTTCTCTGCAACCTCTTTTCTCCCCTTCATCCCTTCCCCAGTGCAGGGTAGCAAACCGGATGTGCGTCTGGTCTCCCTGCCTTTCTTTGCATCTTTATCTCTCTCTCTCTCTCTGTGATCGCTTGAAATCTTTACCACGTGTACAATGTTAAGTATTTATCAGCCACGCTGCGGAATGACAGTGCTGCCATGACTGGGCTGCACATGCTACGGCACATATGCAAAGAAATCTTATCACATTTTACACCTATCTGTGAAAGCATCTATTACCACGGCATATTTTATTGCAATTTTCGCGTAAGGAAGCTTGAAATCGCGCGTGATACACCAAGTAAAAAAACTATATAGATAAATGCAGCAATAAAGCCTCGCTGTTCGCAGCCAAGCCCAAGTTTGTCTGTTAATCCTAACGGTGCGTTAAATGTTTTTGTGTAAAATTCTTTCTCTGAGGCAAACTTTTTTACCTCAAGTGTTAGGGATGAATAATATAAAATAGAATTTTATTATGTTACCGCGTAGTGGACTACCATAAATTTAAAACGTAAACTAGCGTACCATTATCTGTTTTGATTAAGCAGCACAAATGAAAAATGGTTGCAAAGCACGTTGCAAGGATACGAATACCGTACCTCCTTCTTGAAGAACTTCTTAGCCATGACTGTTTTATGTTGTCCTTCCACCTGTTAAAATATAAGTAGATTACGCTGATCTCATATGCCAAAGAAATTTTTGACAATGTAGCGTCTGTCCTCAGTATTAGAAGTCTGAATTCATTTCTGTCCCTTATATCCGGTTAAATTCCCCACCACTCTTTAGTACATAGACTGTGTTGCGCACTTATATTACCCACCTGGTCCCAGCTGATAAGGAGCTTGTTCAGAAATGAAACCATAAACATTGTTTGCAGAAGGGGAAGGTGATGAAGAAAATGTTTCTGTCTATAGGTTAAAATAGAACCGGTTTTAGTATTTCCGAATGAACACAGCAAGGTTTGAAACCACAGGAAACGAAACAGTATTTTTTAAGCCTAGCGTACGCACACGAAATGTTTTGTATGTGACCTCATTTTCAGGTGAAGGTGTATCAATAACCTTTTTCTCATGGGTAGCAAGATTTCTAAAATCGCCAATAATAAATGGCTACATCCTTAGCACGTCCATCCTGTAGAAATCGTTCTCGACTTCTTGATCATCTGAAGTGAATGGAAACCTATATATGACATTATGTTTATTTATTATGTGTTCCTCATCTATCACAATAGTTCACGTGGATAGTCACCGTTTATTACAGGGAGGCTCCTGGTTTCGAGAATCACTGCTTCAAAGTGATGGTCATATGGAATCTAGGACATTGTCAAGAAGCAAATTTAGTGTGTGTTCCACAGGCTTAATCGTTGTTCTAAGACTAACTGGATCACTGGATCCAATGCTTCGACAGTAGTATTTGCCCCCATCAGGACGCGTCCTGACCATCACAGATGCTTGGAAGTGCATCAGTTAAGCGTACTAAAAACGCGGCTAAGAAAGGCAGTTGGCCCTGACAAAGACAAGTGATCCGTGACAAATGTTGGCTTCAATGAAATAAAATGGAATTTTCTATTAAATTATTTAACACCGCCTTATGCCACCATCTTACCCATTCATTAAGATTTAGGGAAATATCTACGTGGCATCATCTCTTGGAGGCAGCAACGGCGTCCTGCCGCAACTGAATCACAAATAGGCGAAAATAAGCACATATGACCAAAACACTAGTTACCAAAAAGGACTCCTGGTTCTGTACAGAAAATAGCCAGTGGAATACTTCGGTGAAGTCGAAGTATCACGCTGAAAAAGGCTTCCCAGGATAGTTTAACACTACGCATCAGAAACAAATCGGGCCATAATAAGGTATTAAACATTCAGGAAAGTCACGCGATTTTTAGTGCAACTCTGCAACTTCAGCCGAATGTTCGAGCAAGTATCTCCTGTAAAAAAACCTGTAATTGTTTTCGAAGTAGTTTTTCTCGCAAGATAGGATTTTTTTCGCCTCTTATTCCTTAGGTACGGAAGGTCACCGCTGCCACCGGCGAGAAATGGCACTGTGTGTACATGTCGCTAAATATTAGTAATGTATTATCTGAATATTTATAGTACACTGTATTGCTACCTAACTAAACCATCAAAACACTTTCGTACCGGTACGGTTGGGTCAATGTGCTGCACGATGCGGTCCAGCGTGGATTCCATGAGCCCCTCGTTCTGGATGGAGCGAGCCAGGGCGTCGATCTCGTTCTCCTGCGTGGCGCCGGGACAGTCGAACATGTGCTCCGTATCGCACATGCAGTCCTGTGCTGCCTGGTAGTCTCGGCTGTAGGCAGCCGTGTTCTCGAATTTCTCAAGGCAGCCGTCCTCAGCTGCGAGGAGATCAGACGTGCGTCGGTGACCAGGCATTGCTTCGTCATGGTCGTAAACACTCAATGAAATGCAATGAATGCGACGAATGTAAAGTATAGTTAAATGACTGTTCCAGCACTAAAACGGGAACACGTAAAAAAAATGCGCTGAACGAGTCTTTAAACCATGGAGGCTGCAGACTGCTGGCCGTATTCTTTGAGCAACATAGTAGCAAGACAAGGTGTCTCACGGTTGAAGCTCGGTGTATCAATGCCAATGCATACTAGAGACGTCATTTCATTACTGTCATAACAAAAATGTGTTGTGCTTGGTGTGACCTCGTGCATAGACTCAGGCATGCGTCCAGCTGACAGGAGGGGCAAGCATGTCTTGCCATGAGGGAGTCAGCTTCGTGTGTGCTTTCTTTTCTGCACAGTACGATTTTTCATTCGGCAGCTGGCATCTCGGTTATCTTGTACTATTTTCTTGCATCTGCGTTTGCACGTCTCACAGTGTTCCACAGTCAATAAGCACCATACCAGATAATTGTCGGCATCATTTAACCACATATGGGTGGCTAACCGATGCGTATTAAAGTTTTGTCAGGGTACGCACTGAGTTTGTATTAAGTGATCAGTCATTACCTTTCGAGGTTCTATCAATGCACTCTGTCCAATTGTGATGGAAGCAACAATGCTTAAGGGCTATGCGCTTATGTTTAGGCGAGCGTTAACTAAAGAGCCCCGGGTGGTCGAAATTTCATGAGTCCTCCATAACGGCGTCTCTCATGATTATATCATGGTTTGGAACGTTGAACCTCAAAAACTATTCTTAACAATAATGCACTCTACCCAACCTTATAGTTACGTGTCTTTTTTTTAAATGACTTTCATGTGCAAGCGCCAAGGAAACGACTTTTTGTGATCAGGTGGAATTTCCAGCAGGGTACAGTAAATGAGAACTGCACCTCGAGAAAAGTGATTAAAGAAATAATGTTGGTTAAAATTACATTTTCGTCATCAACTTTCCCTTCCTATTCACAATTCCAGTGGTTATTGAAAGTTTGTACCTATAAACTATCGATTGAATGGCCACATTCTCGCGTCCAGGAAGGCAAGTGTTAGTCACCGCTGACTCATACAGAGATTCCACGTAAATTAACCGTTCGTAGTTGCAGTTCTTTTTTTTTTGGTGAACACCCTAAGAATAACATATTTTGAATTGCTTTCATGTAAGTTAGCCACTGAGTAATTCTGGAGCCATGTATTGACCTGTGTATCCTTTGGGACAAGGGTTTGGTGGATTGCAGTAGGCTGGAAGGACAGCGTCAGTCTTGACCACCTGAACATTCTTTGCGATGCCATCAGGCTTCAGGCGCTGGAAGCCTTCACCAGCGCCACCTGTAATGCAAAAAACACTAAATAAGTGCTAGTAAAGTGATAACACTAGCTATTGGGTGTTCTAATTATTCAGCTTTCCTATCGCACATAACGGGAAATATAATGGTAGCCAAAGAGATTACCATATTGCGCCTACAAGTTGTGTGACATCAGTAGCTTTGACTGAATGATAACTTCGTGTTTGTTTTTCTCGCTTAAGGCCTGTCACGGAGGAGGTAGGCAATCATTTCTTGTAATGTTTTACTTGTTACTCCGTGCAGGCCCTACGACCAGGAATTTTTTTAGGGAAGAGCGGGAGGCAATTCAATGAAGGCCTTGTAAAACATTTATTTTGTATTAGTGTCCTTAGTAAAACACACGCCGTCATCCAAATTTTAAAGGAAGGGGTGAGGGAGGTATGTCTTGCAGCCTTTCTCCTCTGGCTACGGGCCTTCTTAGTCTCGTCTCCCTTTAACCTGTTGTTTTCCTACAATAGGCTTGTTTTAGTCAGTGAGCACTTCGTCTGTCGCGTCTTTTCTTTCATCCGCAGTTTTGTGCGCTCTAAATATTTCAGCATTTCGACGCACTCGGCTACTTAGCTCGCCATCATGCATATTTCACCCACCGGTGACGTACTGGTGCCCCCAGAGCGAGCTGTGCTGCAAGTACTCCTGGTCGCGAATGCTAGGTCCTCCGAGGATGTCAACCTGCTGAGCTTGGTCGCCGTTTTCTTTCCTGTACCTGCCCAGGTGGTGCGCGCCAAAGGTCGGGTCACGCTGGTACACGTCCGCTGAAAGCGGCGGCTCCTCGTGTTTGGCACGCTGGTCGGAGGCGAACTCGAGCGAGCTGTCCGATAAGTCCAGGCCGGATCCCTGGATTCTGGACATTACCTGCGCCAAAAAAAGGTAAACCCGGACATGCACAGTGTGTGTAAAGCGTGAAAAATACCAAGTCGACTTCAATCTAGACATTTCAACCATCAAGGCGCCTCCTTCACAATTGCCGTTTTTTTTCTATTACTATGCGCTTCGGCTAGCATTATAACACCTCCAAACTGAACTACTCGCTGCGTCAAATTACTGAAACAATTACTGAAATTATTATAAGGTAAAATAAGATCTTGAAACGTTGCAATGTAACTTGCAAGATGCCGATGGGAAAAGACGGAAAAAAGACAAATTCTTTTTACTTTCATCGGCCCTCTCTCATATGTGATGGTGAATATTACAGAGATAATGAACATTTATGCGTTTATATGAACAAAATTATACATCTAGGGCACTAACCGAGTGAGAACATCACTGTGAATATAAACACAGGTTACAAGTTCAACTTCATCAAGCCCAGTGATGTTCCTTTAGTGTACACGGTGTTTTGCGCTATATTAAAGGGCCAGTAAACAGGCTTCAACTTTTTTTTACACCCTCCAAACAAGCTCGCGCATCTTTCGTACACCTGACCAACCTCCTTACACGCGCAGTGAGGTGAACTCGGCGATCGGCGATGTTGACTTCATTACTTTTTTTTTTGTGCTTTAGACCAGTCGACGAGCCCCACGCTGCGTCACGTCGCCGATCGTCACTGCGCGTGAAAGGAGGTTGGTGCACGCGCATGAGAAACTGCGCGAGCTTTTCCTGTGCGTTTCGCAGCCGGTTGACCTGGCCCCTTAACGACTTCAGGCATGGCTAAATATCTTTCAACTTATGCAAGGCACACTTTATTCGCAGCGAGCGCTGTTGCGTTGTTTAACCTCGGATACAGTTATTAACGCGATAGCGTTAGAGAGCACGGTGTCGCATAAATTCCGCTTTCTGCTGTCGACACCGTTGGTTGTTAGCGAAAAGTCGTCCGTGAATGAAAAATCGAGGAAGAAGCAAAGTAAAATGAGAATAGAACTTTCGGTCTCATGAAGAATCGAACGCGGGCCGTTCGCGTGGACAAGCAGGTGTCCAACCACAAAGCCACGATGTTACTTGCAACTGCTTCGGGAAAAAAATACTACATAAATGCCATGTAGTGGAAGGAGTTTCCTTAACGCATTTTGTTCGACAGGTGTCAAGACGAAAACGAGCCATTCGGCGATTTGTAGGCACATTTGGGAGGCCATCAAAGCAACTTCGGAAAACGCTGGCACAGCGCAGCCGTTGCCACTAAAAACGCACAGGAACTTTTAAACAACTCTAAACACGTAGAACTCGAAGGTTCATCTAGCGGAAATCATATCATGCCTTTCCAGAGGCAGTTGGTCAAGCAAACAGCAAACGCTACATGATGTGCTGTCATCTGTGAGGCAGCACATGCAAAATGTTAAGAAGCCAGCTATTGTCTCATCGAAATGCATCGCAAGAGATTTTCCGTGTGTTTTTCTGTGGCATCATCACTTTACATTGCTAAGGGCACGTTGCAGAACTAGTTCATTCGGGGTTCATCATTCATATGGTTATATAGCGTTTCTCCTTCGATATAGCTTTCCTTTTGTGTCCTTGTCGTGGTGCGCTATAACCGAATAAACTATTAACTTTATTTTGTGATAAATACTACACGTTCTTGGGACTTGAGTCAGTTCAATTAGTTATAAAACTCATCATACTCACCTGCTTGAGGAAGCCATCTGTGAGCCCTTCGAGACCGCGGTCATATGATGCCGGATTGAAGGTGAAGCTTCTCGTCGCCGCATTGAGTAGAACGGCGACGAAAAATAGTCGGCCAGTTAATCATTTTGATTGTTTCTAGGAAAACACAAGAAAAACTATAGCATCGAGAGCATTACTTGAAAGTCAGTCGTGGGGTCATTCACTAGCGACGGGGCCCAATCATTGATCTTAGTACAACCTAAGTACCGACCAAACTAAATCATGACAAGAATTTTTTTTCACGTTCTATGGCAATGCGTAAACTTTCTCTGAAGCTTTGAGCTGTATGAACAATCACTTGTGAACCTCCAGGACAAATAGTATCCATATGTAGGAGCGAAAAAGAAACAAAAAGAAATGCTGCAGCGTGGCTAAATTGACAATTTTCTGGCAATTTTTCATTGCTTTTTTTTCCCGCAGAGATGCCTCCAGGATGCCTGACCAACTAGGTGAGATAGTAGCTTCGGCTAACACAGACTGGTAACTACAATTTCTCCGAAGATGTCTCTTCTGCATTCCTCTTTCCTATCGCCGCCATTCATCGACTACGAGGCATGTTGCGTAATGACATCCGTGTATCCTCACTGACAGACACACAATTCGATCACAAGAACAACGCTCATTGTTGGTGAGCAAAGAGTACCTCTTTGACGATACGTTCGGCATAACAAAAGTGGAGAGCCTGACCACCGAATAGCCGCACTCAGCTTGTGCTGCGTCGAGCGGGCATTCTAATACGCTAACAGGGCATGAACAACCTAAAGAAAGGTGTGCATTTTTGAGACATCGTAGCCACGTACCTCGCCCTCGTGCGTCGGATCCACTCTAGGAGCTTGCCAACGACCCTGTTTTGGTTCGTCAAGAATGCGGGTTCTCGAAAGCAGCCTGCGTCAAAGTTTCTCCCCAAGCCTTGGATCGCCGGGTTGTGTTCAATATGGCGGCGCGAGAGGGGGAGACGCTTCCCGATAGGCACCGCGTGTTAACCGCCGGTCCCCTTCTCTCTCTTCGCACGGCGCGGCTGGCGAAAAATCGATATCGACACGGAACGGCCTCTAGATGGCGCCAGTGGATTTGCGTTGTCCGAGTTTTGCTCCTGACTAGGGCTTCTTGGCCGCCAAGGGTTTCTTGAATTCTGCGCTGATCCACAGGTGGCAGTTAGAGTTCGATCGATAGGTTAAGCGATGCATAAGAATAATAAGCGAGAGGTTTTTTTCGTATCCCTTTGTTTGTTCTCATTGATAGTCAATTTTGTATTTTTCACGCCCCTCTGTAGAGTCATGTTGGATTGAGACTAAAATCAATTAAACAAAATCAATGAAAGCAAATCTGCTCAATAACGGCAAAAACGTTTTGCGGGGCCTGAATCGCGTGATCAACCGAAATATGCATTGCTTGCATACAACAAAATCAGCTAATGAACTTTCGATGGCCTTCATAATGTGAATACGTTCTCCTACTGCGAAACTAATGCAGCCCTGTTGTAAGGAGCCCGTTGTCTATATTACATGGTACGACTAGATATTTTGTCATAAACTCTGTATTCTGACGTACGTTTGCCCACTAAAAAGTAGTTTTTCGCCCACTTCGCCCACTAATAAGCAACTCAACCGAGTCGTAACTGGAATGCACATTTCTGTAGTAATTTTTTGGCGGTGACTGCTTTTAAAACACTGTTATTGAAGAATTTCTACTATATCAACTGCGAGTGAAGTACCATGCTTCTTCAACTGAGAAAGTCTCCAAGTATCCCGTTACCGCACTAGGACTGCTACCTTCTCCGCATCCTTCTTTCCGCGTGCTGTGGAGGACTGGAACTACCTCCCAAACCACGTCGTCACAATCACCTCCCCATAAACTTTCGCTAAAAATGTAACAACTCATCTCTGTCAGTTAAACTTTATGGCAATGTATATACCCACACCTATGCAGCAATACTTTATACTTTGAATGTAGCAAAAGTTTTATATCCTGTATACCAACCCCTTATGTGGCAAATGTTTTTTATATCCTGTACATCCACCCCTTATGTAATACCCCCTTGTGGGGTCTTTAAGGAAAAAAATATGATGATGATGATGATGATATGAAACGTGCACACGTTTTGAATAGCATAAACAAACAGCTAATTAGTGAATTATCTGAATTAGTCCGGTCATATTTCTCGGCTGTGCTAACAATACCCACCGCTTCGAGTAGTCACATACCACAGTACACGATATGCTAGAAGAAATTCTTAAAAGTACTAGTATGACAATGGGGTGGAGGGACGTTCATAGAGTCTTGAGATTTCCCTACCGTGGTGGTCTAGAGGCTAAAGTGCTTGGCCGCTAACCCGCAGGTCGCGTGATGAAATCACGGCTGCGGCGCCTTCATTTTCGATGGAGGCGAAAATGCTGTAAGCCAGTGGGCTCAGATTTTGGTGCACGTTAAAGAACCCTAGGTGGTAGAAATTTCTGGAACCCTCCACTACGGCGCCCCTCATAATCATGTGGCTCTTATTGAACGTTAAACCTCACATATCAATCAAATAATGTCATTAAAAGATTGAGCAAAAAGTATTCATTGAATGTACTTGAGGCTTTCTAAACTGTCAGGATATGTAGTATTCTAGTGTAGTTAAGATCAGTGTAGGTATAGTATTCTAGTGTAGTTAGGCGTACAACGGGCCTTAGAGACCAACTTTAGTGTCGTCCTCTCTTTATATTTTGCTCTTCATTTTTAGCTGTCTCTTTTCTTCTGTCTCTCTTCGTAACAAATTTTTTCTTTAATCTCTCATTTTCCTTACCCCCTTTCCCTGGACAGGGTAGCCAACCAGCCGAAGAAATGGCTGTGATATTTGTCCTTCTGCTTATTTCTTTCCTCCTACTAGTTTAATAGTGTTAAACAAAAACACAATCACGTACTATTACCTTTTCATCACTTTCAGTAAATAAACTTGAGAAAAACAGCTAACGTTTACTTTACTTTATTAAAGGAAGATTGCTTTATTATAGCATTTACTTTATTTAATGTGACATGATTCCATGCCATGAATACTGGGATACGTGTGCCATATTTTACAGTCAAATTTGTGGTTTTGCATGCGTTCTTCTCTACGCTATCTTGTGGAAACGTGCTAGCCGTGTTGATCGTCAGTGTTGAACGGCAATGTTACGTGCGTCGTGTATACAAATGTCCTGCGATCTCACAGCTTTGAATGGGAAAAACACACACTTTTCGTTACGTGAATTGTTCAATAAAAACCTGTACAGAAGCTATGACTAACACTTCTGACTAGCCCGTTCCTCACTGAAAGAAGACAACGAGAGCAGTTTCTACGGCTTGCTGAAGCGCGAACGCGAAATATCTTGAATATCCTGTCGGCATCAATTCACATATCAAGTATTACAACACTATTTTCAGCATCGCTTTGTCAGGACAAAACACAAACAATTACACTCACAATAAAATGTGCTCTCGCTAGAACGGGTTCTTGGACGTGTGCAAGCGCTGTTTACATGTGAAATGCTTTGTTTATTCTAAGCTGTAATGCAATTGTTGCATTACTGCTTAGACAAAATGAGTCAAGCTTCTCCCCTCAACTAAGTGGTCACGTACCACGAGAGATATACAAGGAGCGGACAGACGCACGACTTAAGGAGCTTCACCCCTAATAATATGCAGTGTAGTAGCCCCAACAAAAAGTAAAGACTAACCTGTACGCACAGTTCTAGTCGGTGTCCTATAAAAAGTATTCAGGGGACACTTCCTAAACCACGTCACGATGCATAGTTCGATGTTTTGGGGGCCATTAGCATTCAGCACGGCCATCACTACGTTCATCCAACCAAGCAAGAGGTGGAAGTGTGCCCTCGCTTGATCTCAGGTGGAGCTCCCATTTCGACGTCTAATTCGCGATGGCTACACAGCGCGATGCTACTATCCAGTCCCAGGCTGAAGCTGTCTTCGAAAGACGTCTTCTGCGGAGGTGGAGACTGGGCCACCGTTTAGCTTAGATCCACGTCCTTAATACTGGCAGCACTGTCCACGTTTCGGCCAGCCAGTGTGGGTAGTCTTTGTGCGGGCAATTTCTTACATGTACGACGCGGCGTTGCAGTGATCAGAGCTGCAGGAACAGAAGAAGCTGTGGTATTTTTCGTACCGTTGTTCGGTGTAACAGGTGGCGTAGGGTTGACGCCAACAACAGCAGTCTGAGAACTCTACTGGCTTGTGCACCGCTATCAATCCGGCCATAACGTCTATCCGAAACCCTGTAAGGGCCTCACGAAGGCGGAGGAGCGAATCCTCTTTCGCCTTTATACTAAGGCTCTATTGTGCCCGGCAATCATAAAACACTTTGACCCAGCTTGCACGGGGAAGTGCCCGCATTGTGAGGAAAATTCCTCTGACATTTTCCACATGGTGTGGGCATGCCAAAAAAGCCCAAACCTTACCCCACTACCCAACCTTTCGCGGGAGGACTGGGAGGCAGCCCTGCTCGGCTGCTCTGACCTGACGGCCCAACGGGCCCTGGTCGAGCGTGCCCGGGCCGCGGCCAACGCCAATGGGCTCCCGTAAGAGGGAGCTCACTTAGTGTTTTACGGGGCGGCCCCTTAAGGACCGTTCCCACCCTCCCTGTAAATAACATCTGTAAATAAATATTTTTCAGCAGTGTGCACCGCTGTCAAGTGGCGTTGGAGAAGGAACGCCGACGGCGTTTGCAGGACCCCGCGCTGTATCTTGAAGTGCATGGTTCCTGTACCAGCGGGAAGGCCGACGTGCATGGCGGCGCACCGACAATCGATCATTCATTTTGCGCTTCCTTGGAGGAAGTTTCAAGTGTGCTTACGAAAAGCGGTTAACGTTTTAGAGTACTTCATACTCTATACTCGGGGACAACTTTCTGTGGCAATGAAAGGAAGGCTACGTGGGCGGAGCTACTGCTCCTGTACTCCTCAGCGAAGTAGTCCGGTTCGGCTATAGCGTTTCGACTGAAGGCCGCGTTCATGAAATCCCACAGCACACAATTTGATACACCTGCATACACAGTCATTTGTGAGAAAAATTTGACGCAAGCACTTCTGGCAGGCCGTTGGAATAGCTGGAGGGCGACGCACGCTCTCCTATAGACGAAGACGCCATTTTGACTGTGGGGTGCGCGTAAAACGTGAGACGTTTTCAGTTGCGCAAAAACGCGAAGTGACCCCTCAGAAAGCAACAACAAATAATGGTATCTCCTCGGAGCGTGCAGCGTCTCCTTATAAACAGCATCTAGTAGAAAATAATGTTCCTTTTCCTTACTTTCACGCGGAAAACACGGACGCATTCGAGGCACTATATTCTACAGCGGTGGCACACGCCCCATTTGGCTCCATAGCCTTCCCTTCATTGCCACAGAAAGTGATCCCCGAGTATACTATGAAAGAGCGTAGAGGCGTCCCATGGGCCTCACACTTCATAAGGCGTGTGTGGAGCAAAAAAATCACAGCATATCCACGGAGTGAATGATGATGAGTGTGGCGAAGCGTCCGTACGTCTGCTCTTCCTTCCGTCCGTTCGTGCGCCCGTCTTTGCATCTATTTTTCCGTCCGTCCGTCCGTCCGTTCATATAGTGAACATTCCAAGTACCGCCATCTCGCATCTTATCATCATATATTCAGCATATAGAAGTACCGCCATTCAGCGGACATTCCACGGACTAAACGAGAGGTGGCACACGCGCATTTTCTTACGACCTGTGCTTCATGTCTACTTCCCACCTTTCACCGCCTCTAGTTCATGGCTACATAATAGTTCACTATATATTCATGGCACTGCGGCCCAACTCTTGCTAAACCTTGCTAAAAGCAAGGAGGTTACGCTCAGCGAGTTTAACGTGGCAACCCTTTCTGGTCAGACAGTGCTCAAAGTGCGTCCTTCTGACACTAGTTTTTTTTTTCTAGTAAGCATCAAATGCAAGGCAAATATAC